GCTGTTGCAGCTGAGATGCCTTCAGACAAATTTAGTCACTAAAGTAGGAATTTTTTCTGTGGTGCTGAGCATCAAACCCACAGCCTGGTGTGCGCCAGGCAAGAGCTCTACCACTGAGCTACACGTTGCAGCCATGAATATTTGCTATCAAGCAGTAAAGCGTAAGGGCTATATAATGGTACCTAGCCAGTACACGCCACCCAACGCTACCAACATTTCCAATCTCGCGTCATTTTTTTACCCCCAAGAAATAAAATATTACAGATTTCAAGCCAGCTTGGTACATGCCTGTAATTTGGGAGGCTGAGGCAGGAAGATGGCAAGTTCAAGGCCAGCCTGGGTTACTCAGAAAAACCTTGCTCAAAAAATAAAAAAAAGCCAGGTGTGGTAGCAAACACCTGTAATCCTAGTACTCTGGTACTGAGACCAGCACAGCTCTTGAGAAACTCCCAGGGGAAGGACCATGAAGAAATGAAAGCAAGAATGAAATTGCAGAAACCTGAGGTCAGGTGGAGCCCTCTCTCTTGGTGGAGGAAAGAGCTGCGCAACGACTGTAGCGTGTTTATTTATACAAGCAGCAGGTTGATGTCAGGTGAAACCCCTCTACCTAGCAACTTGCTCACCTAGCTCACCTCATGTGCCCTGTGTTCTCTTGCTCTAGCTCCAGACGTGTCCTCAGCAGCAGTGGCTCCCCACACTCTGGAAGGCTAAGGCAGAAGGATTGCAAATTTGAGCCCAGTTGGGGTTAGTTTAGTGACTTAGTAAGAACTGTGTTAAATATGAAGTCAAAGAGGGCTGAGGATATAGCTTTGTGTAAAGGCCCTGGGATCCGTTCTCAGTACCAACAAACAAACAGATAAATAAACTAAGGGCTAGGATGCAACTCAGTGGCAGAGCACTTGCCTAGCACACGCAAGGGCCAGAGTTTGACCACTACTACTGCAAAACTAAACTGAATAACTACATTAAGTTACACTGAATTTTAAAAGGGCTGGGATATAGCTCAGCAGTAGGATGCTTGCCTAGCATGCATGAGGCCTTGGCTTCCAATCCTCCCCCCAAAGGTGACTGGTTCAGTCTTCTCTCGCTTGAGGAACCTCTGTCCTGATGGCAACAATGATCATCATGCATAGTTCATGCTTGGCTCTACTGGAAGTGGTCCTAGGCCACAGCGTTCTTACACATATATATTTTTTTTTTTCCAGTACTGGGAATCGAACTCATGAACTTGTGCTTGCCAGGCAGGTGCTGTGCCACTGAGCTAAATCCCCAGCCCCCTTACACATATTTTAAACTTCCCGTATAAATGGCATTGTCCTGTAACTCCTCCTGTGACAGTTAATTCCCCTTCCTTTCTTTTTTCTCTTTCTTTTCCTTTCTTTCTCACTCTTTTTCTTTCTTTCTTTTCTTCTTTTGAGACACGGTCTTACTACATAGCCCAGGCTGGCCTCAAGCTCACAACAATCCCCCTGCCTCAGCCTCCCGAGTGCTGGGATTACAGGCATGCACCCCACGCCCAGCTGTAATTCTTTCATTTCTTCCCCTTTTTCTGGTGCTGCTTCTTCTCCCTGACCCAGTAGCCACAGCCCTGTCTGAGCCCTTCGCACACCCTGGCTGCAGAAACCTCGTCCTCTGTGCTCTCCCAGCCCGAGGGAGGGGTCGCGGCGCCTCCCTGCAGTTTATAGTTTCCGAGTCACGGTCCCTTCTCTTTCTTCTCCCGCCTGGATAACCAGTGCCTCCATTCATCTCCCGTGTTCATAACACCTACCATGATCTTTCTGACTAGGCCCGGCCTATGGTAGATGTGTTGTTAAATGTACCTCTGGGCCACTCTTCTTGTGCTGTCTTTTTTTGAGACGAGGTCTCATCGTGTAGTCCAGGTTGGCCTTGAACTCACTATGTAGCTCAGGCTGGCCTCAAACTTGTGGCAATCCTCCTGGCTCAGCCTTCCCAGTGCTGGGATTACAGGTGTGCACCATCGCACCTGGCCTGACACCTGAATTTACATTTTGTATGGTGTGAGGTAAGGATCAGATTTAAAAAAAAAAAAAAGTATTGTTAAGTAATTATTCCAGCACCACTTATCATTTATAGTTTAAATTTTCCTCACTGATTTGAAATGCCAGTGCAGTCAGATGCTATATTCCCAAAGTCATGGGGTCTATTTCTGGACTTTCCTCTGTTCCATTTCTGTGTATGTATGTTCTTGTGTCAACAGTATAGCACACGGGGCTGGGGATTTAGCTCAGCGGCAAAAGCGCCTGCTTGGCAAGCGCAAGGTCGTGAGTTCGGTTCCCGGTACCGGAGAAAAACAAAAAAAAAAACAACAACAAAAAAACAGTATAGCACACTTCTAATCAGTGCAGTGTTCTAGAGAATCTCCCTAACTTACGGGCATGTTTATTTATCCTTAACTATTTAATAGTTTTATCACTATTTTTCATGGAATTTTTAAAAAGTAATATATTCCGATGAATGCAAATACATTGTGCCACCACATCTGGCCAACATTTTTATATACTGATTTTTGAATCCAGAGCCTCTTCATTTGTAGTAGGATAGTGGCCTCACAACATTAATAGGCCTTCTTATGTCATTGCTTCCTTGCCTTCAGGGAGAGCTCTCCCAGACATAGTAAATTCAATTTTCTAGCAACTTGTTTATGGCTTTGAAGAGATTCTTTTGTACAAAATCTGTAAATAGAGAAACTGACTGGCTGTGCGGTGACTTCATCTGCCTCCACTGCCATCTCTGCCAGGGCAGCTGCCAATCACCACCCCTCACCCATCACTGCCTTTCAGTTTTTGGTGTTTTTGAGACAGGGTCTCACTATGCAGTTCAGGCTGGCCTTGAGCTCACTTTGTAGCCCAGACTGGCCTCAAACTTGCAATGATCCTCCTGTCTCAGCCTCCTGAGTGCTGGGATTACAGGCGTGCGCCACCACAACCTGCCTAGGTTTATTGTTTATTTTATTTCTGAGACCAGATCTCAGTATGGAGCCCAGGCTGGCCTCAAACTCATAGTCATCCTCCTGCTTCAGCCTCTGGAGTGCTGGGATTACAACAGTAACTACCCTCCAACTCTCCAGGGTGCTTGTCACAGTACTATGCAAAGGGCTCAAGCTTGGGGCTCAAAGTGGTTTGCTGGTGAACCTGAGCTGCCATTTATTAACCTACTGCATTTTCCGTTTTGTTCTGGTGGATGGGAAGCTAAGACCTCAGTTTCACGCTCAGAAGTAGCACATTCCCCTGACCCTTTACAATAGTATTTTTGTACGTCTATGCATTCATGCTTGTTCAGATAGTCTTTTCTTTATAGTTATTATTTGTTTAATTTACTAATTTTTTTTGAGACAAGGTCTTGCTATGAAGCCCAAACTGGCCTTCAATTTGAAATCTTCCCCCTTCCGCCTCCCAAGTGCGGGGATTACAGGTGCTATTACTTGAGTTTTATTTTTTTACTTTTTAAACCAATTAATTAATTTATTTTTTGAGACAGAGTCTCACTGTGTAGTTCAGGCTGGTCTTCAACTCACCATGTGGCTCAGGCCAGCCTCAAATTAGCAGCGATCTTCCTGCCTCAGTCTCCCGAATGCTGGGATTACAGGTGTGCACCACCATGCATGGCCTATTACTTGCTTTTAAAAAAATTATTTATTTTAAATTTATTAACTGATACATAAGAATATAAAAGCTGGCAGGGCGTGGTTGTACATGCCTGTAATCTCAGCATTCTGGGAGGCTGAGGCAGGAGGATTGTGAATTTGAGCCCAGCTCCGGCAATTTGATGATTTGGTGAGCAGTGCAACGCCCTGTGTTAAATCAATAGTGCCAGAAAAAAGAAATAAAAATAAAATTATACATGCAGTACCACATTATGTTTGGATACATTATGTAATATTTCAATCAGGTTAGAGATATTTATATCTTCAAACATTTATCGTTACTGTTATCAGTAGCACCTCAACAGCACCCCAGAACTTCTTGTTCCTATCTCAGTACCCCTTGATCAACTTTTTCCTATCTTTGCTTTTTTTTGGCAATGCTGGGGATGGAACCTGGGGCCTAACACTTGCTAGGTAAGTACTCTACCACTGAACTACACTTCCAGCCCAGCCTAATTAAAAAAAAAAAATTCATCCTATTTTTGGATAGTGGTTGTTTTGATGTAAGCCATGTCAGGTCTTTTTGTGGGTTGGCGGAGTATAAATTCCTACTAAAATGTGTAATGGCCAATAAATATTGACTGACTGGAGAGTCTCAGAACTTTAGTGGTGGTGGCTGATTTTCCAGAACCATTAGTGTAGACAATTTAATTTCAATATGGATATGCTTGTAAGTCAGGCCTATTGTGCCCAATAATACTGTATTGAATTCGGGGGGCAAAAAAAAAAAAAAAATGATTTTACTTCCCATTTGTACTAGTAAATCCCCAAACATTTCACAACCTTACAAAGTAGTGGTGCTTGGCACGCGCGTGACAGTTGCATATCTTCTCGCTGCATATGATGTTTATAAAGGGCTGAATTGGGCTGCTCATGCAGAGTACAGTAGTGGCGTTTCCCTGGGGCTGACTGTGGATGTGATCTCCCGTGCTCTCGGACTCTGGATCCTAGCGGCCGCCTCCAGGGCCCCTGCGGGTGCGGGGCGCTCGGTTCCCTCGCCTGGGGACACAAAGCGTTTGGTCCCTTTCCTCCCAGCCCGCACACGCTCTGCGAGTCGAGCTGATGCCCACGGAGTCATGCGTTTCCATTACTCATTCCGCCTTTCCTCCCAAGGTGGCGTGTGGGAGGTGCTGTGCGCGGGGCCGGTAAGAATACGCCAGGAAGCTCTCCGCGGGCTCCGCTCCGCCGCGTGCGCGGTTCCGTTCCGATCGCGCCGCTCGCCGGGAGACGTTTTCCAAACCCACGGTGACTCCACACACGGCCGCTCCCTTATGGATCCCGGCTCCCCGGGCCGCGTCCGCCCCGCCCCGCCCCGCCCCGCCCCACTCAGCCAACCTTTTGTCCCCTCGCAGTGCAGATGGTCGGGCTGTGAGGTGCGGCTGCTGCCCACGCCGCCCTCAGAGGGTCACCCGGGAGGGAACTCTCGGCGCCGCCTTCGCCCACCCCGCACCCCCGCAGCGGCGGCGGCTCTTCCACCAGGGGGCGCTCCGCTGTCTCCGCAGCCCCTCGCAGCGTACCCGCCCCTCCCTGGCTCCCCTGTGACTGGCCGGTCGTCCCTAGCTCTGCACTCTGATTGGTTGCTTCCTGCGTCAGTCAGGGCCGCTGGGCGGGAGGAGGTGACGCGCGGCGCCCTGGCTCCGGGCGGTGCCCGTCGCCGGCCGCTGCGGGCGGAGTTTCTCGAGCCGCGACGCTGGGCAGTCAGACGGCCGCGGTCCCGGGAGGCGTCCGCGCGGGCTGTAGCCGCTGTCAGTTCCTTGCCGCCGCCGCTCTCGATGCTTGGCCGGGTCGCTGCGTGATGGCGCGGCGGAGCGGCGCTGTGCGGTTGGCGGCGGCCGCGTCTCGCGCTGAGGTGCGT